CTAAGCAAACAAGTTATGGTCATGATTCTTGAGAAATTAAATTTTAAAATTAGGTAATTCAGGAAACATTCAATTAATTGCGCTTTATTCAATTAATTTGTATTTCGCCATTTTAAAATACATTCTTAAAAATGCTACAAATTAAATATTTCTTTTACTTTTATTAAATGAAATAATAACAAATAACAATAAATAATACAAGCAATTTTTTTTCCTAATTATCTTTGAAAAAATTTATTTTGTAATTGCATGCAAAATGCTTCAATTTGCTTAAATTCTCGTGATGTGGCGTACATGTAGCCATTAAGTAATAAATAAAATTAACACTAAAGGGTCCAAACTTTCAGTCGCACTCCTAGGCTGCAGCAATCCCCCCCCCCACCACATTTGGAGGGTCAAGAATGCGAATCCACCGAAAAAAAAGTATGTTTATTCAGAGAAAATACGTTTCTGTACCTGATATCGAAACTTTAAATATCGTCTGACCAAATAAAATATCATATTTAAGATTGGGTCTTCCGATAATTAAGATTGAGTCCTAATACGTGAGAAACCGATCATTAGATCAAAAATTATTCGGGTGTTCACATTTTTTTCTTTAGCGCACTATATTTTTTTTATGTAGTTAAGCTAGAAAACTAACTCGAGCTTTATCGTTTGTACCCCTGATTAGCAAGAATGAATTATAATCATTTTATCCAATCAGAGAAATTTTACGTAACTAAATGTTAAATTAGATACAAAATATTTTTATATATAAAAAAATCTTTTTATAAATTCCATCATTTATTACATTGGTATTTATAAACTACGTAATCCCCAACGTTTCCATAGGAATAATCAAGAGATTTTATGCAAAAGAAGTTAAATCTAATTAGTAACGTAATTGTGCTGATTATTTTGGGTAATCTTATTTATCAACGTTATTATCATCATAAGAATTACTTAAGAATAATACACTTTTATGGGTAAAAATAATAAACTTAATTCATTTCAAAATTAACGTAAAAACATTTCCGAAGTAGTTGCTGAAAAAAAAGCAGAAGGCTATGAAGAATATTATTCATTTTAGAAAGCAAAAATATAATGTTGCCCACTTAAAAAAATAAGCTACCCTTTATTACAAATTAAAGAAATGTAAAATTCAATTCAAGCTAATTGAATTTAATGAAATAAAATAAAATGGTAGAATGATAAATGGTGAAATAAAAAGGTGAATAAATGGTGAAATAAAAAGGTAAAGGTAAAATAAATGGTGAAATAAAAAGGTAGAAGTAAAATTTATAATAATTCGATATATCAGGTATTCGATTTATTCAGAATTGTGATTGGTTTTACTGTTTAGCAACATAATACTATAATACTTAAGAAACCTTGATTTTGGAATATTTCATTCTTATTCATTAGTTTTTTTAAAAAACATATTGGAATTTTTAATAAAAAAGATTATACGTATTTGTTAACCCATAGGTTTCTTTACATTAGTATTTTATACTTTCTTTACTATTATTATGCTTTCAGTTTTTAAAATCAAGTTTTGCCTCTAATAGTGTTAACCATACTCAGTGTAGTGATATGAAACTTAATTGTAAAAAAAAAGTTCAACAACTTTTAATCAGCTAATTATTTTGGAAAATCTTAACAGTCTAAATTGTTTTTACTTACTAACTGTCTCAAACGAAAGGAATATGAATATATTCCTGTCTCAAACGAAGGAATATGAATATATATATACTTTTAATATCCAGCAATTTTCTTCAGATATCATTATTTTCCTTCAAATTAATTCCTTATAATACACAAATTAGGCAAAACATTCTTTAAATAAAGCGAAATAAAATCAGATATATTGGTCAATGTTGTTAACAATATTCAGCTAAATATTTAAATACATGTTTTAAATCTGATTTTCTAGAAGTGGACAAATTAGATTTGATTGTTTTTATAAACTTTATATGATTATAAATTGCAAAATTTTTTCAGTTTAGTTCTTATCTGATAAATGTTTGATTACTTGAATAATTTCATTTTAAGATAAAATAATTTCTTCTAGTATAGTAAGAAATAATTTCAACAAAAATTTATATTCACTAAATCTCAATAGTTAATTGGGTTGAACAAGAAAAAAAAAGCTTTTGTTAAGGAAAGTTTAAGAAACTAAGAATTCAAATATCATTTAGTTTAAATAAACAAAACTACATTTAATAAAAGTGTTGTTATTCAAAGCTACTTTTTCCTCTCCATAAATACGTAGACAAGAAAGAAGGCCTTGAAAATTGATTAACAACTTAAGATTGATTTTGTTAAAATAACAAAAAAAATAAACTTCTATAGACAAAAGCAAATCTATAAGGTTGAGGAAAACTTTTTAACAAGTGTTTATTTAATATAAGAAGAAATATGGAACATTATTTATATGATATAAACATGTCGTCATCGTCATTTATTTTTTCCCCTAGCATACAAGCTTTAAACGTGAGATAGTCTTTGTTTATTTATCGTTATATCTTTCTAAGAAAGTTGTTAGATTTTTCTTTGAAAATAATTTCTACATTAACAGCTCAACTTAGCTCAACTTAGATACCAATTGCAATGAATGATAGGCTCAAAATTTATTAAATGTATGTCCAACTTTGACGGGCTTCTGACCATTAAGTAAAATATGTAACTACCAGCCAATATGATCGGTTATGTTATTTAAGTGCCGCAAGAATATAAAATAATTCTTACTAAGAAAAGCAATCAAAAATGAAAAAACTTTAATTATTTATTTTCATTTAGTTTAACTCAATACTATCTAATAGTTACATTCATTTTAATTTAAATTAAAAAATAAACATGTATTTATTTTTAACGCCGTAATATACTTCATAACTGAAAAATATTTATATTATAAAATTTATATTATATAATAAACTTATATAATATTTATATTATAAAACAGGCGTTTAATATATACTTCGTTTAATTGCATATAATCAAAACTAAAAGAACATAAAATATTGCTTCTCGGAAAGAAAAAAAACATTTAAAAACGCAAAAGTTTTGATCATTTAGTCTAGTTTTTTTTCGAAAGTTTCTACCTTTTATTGCCATTTAGTATATCTCAGTTCTACATTATGGTTGAGTTCATTTTAATTTGACTTAAAAATAAAGATGATTTAATGTTAATGTCGTAATATATTTCATAATTGAAAAATATTTATATTATATAAAATTGTTGTTTTATGCATGGTACGTTTAATTTCATAGAATGATGGCTAGAATATAAAATATTATTTCTCAGAAAGAAGTACTTAAAAATGCAAAAGTTTCAATCATTTAGTTTTATTGTTTAATATATGTTGGATCATTTAGTCTAGTTCTGCTTAAAACTATCTTATAGCTACGTTCGATACAGTTTAAAAGAAACATCAACGCATTTTATTTATATATTTTTTTTAAATGCTTCGTACAAAAACAATATTTATACTAAGTAAAATTGTTACTAAATAAAAATATATCATTTTATGACAGTTACCTTAAATTCATATAAATTATAAACCATTGCCATCCAATTTTTAAATATTTTATACTGGATCAATATTTATATACATTAAAATTTATAATTAAGATTTCTGCTACGAATTAAATTTGAAACAAAAGTGCTTAAATAAATTAATTAAGAACAAATATTTCAAAATATCATTTTAAACCACCACACTGGTTATCTTTTCGTCTATGCAGTATGTTATGAAGAGGAAATGGAAAATGTTTCAACAGGCCTCTAAACAACTGTTCGTACGTCCTTGTATTTCAAATCACCAATTAGCACTTTAATGGAGGCCTTTCCTTTATTTCATCTGGTTTAATCCTAACGTAGTGATCCATTCCTGGTGTACGGTTTGAATATTTTCAAAGATCGAAAATGCATTCGATGTTTAGCTGCCTTATTAAATAATTTTGTTTTATTTTTTGATGTTATTTAGTTTTGAAAATTTTAGGCACGCTGAGGCTGACATGAAAATACATAAAATGAGAAAATATACGCATTTAAGTGCCGTTTATATTATTTAAAAGTGTGATTCAACTAACTAAATTACTGATATAAATGTTTAACCAAAAATAATCATGATTTGTTTTATTTCTTAAGGAAATTGTATTTTAAAATGGTAACAAATGCCATATATGTTATTAATATTTTGATAAAGGTCGAATTTTTAAAATATTTTTTCATTATCAATTTCGTAGCTTCCTTTTGAAAATAAACAATTTTACTACGATAATTTGCAATTTTAAATTTTGAACACTAATTATATTACATTTCTCTTTATATCTCTTTTAATATCTTTTAATAATTAATATCTCTTTTTGCAGAAAAATTACATGCTTTTTTTTTATAAAATTCTGCGTAAGAGCCCATAATTATCAGATTATTAACCTTAAGCAGAAAATGCAACAAAAGTTAACTGTTTTACACAATGTTAATATTCTGATGCTGTAAACCATTTTTTTTTCCGAAATTTTTGCATGCACATTAATTACTTTCTAACTTTATACTATATGGAATTCAAATTTAAAATGCTATCTTCTTTTTAAAAAAAAATTGTCCAATTGCTTTTTTCTAATCTGCGACTTTAAACAGATGATTTAGATTTATTTAATAATATTTTTTATGGTATCTTTCTATATATAATATTCATAATTTCATAAGAAGTCTTTTTTGATCGGTTAGAATTCTTTTGATTAATTATCTTTAACGCATTATATAAAAAATAATAATCTGCATAGTATAAATAAAATATTTATTAAAAAAAGTTTATCGTTAAAAAGGTTGTAAGCCGGTAGAAATAAAAGCAGCGATTCAAAACAAACAACAAATCTTTGACCTATTTGACACAACTGAAAGTGAAAAATAAGTAGAGTTACGAGTTCGTTAATAAGTAAATAATAAAAAACAATAGCTATGAATACAGGAGTCTAGTGACCCCTTCTTACTTTAATCACGTGAATAAACTCACCTGACGAATAGAGTATATCCTCGCCAGTTCCTCTTCACGTTTTGTATGTAGATCAATGCTTAATATTCTTCTTATAGATATACATTGTTCAAAATTTTCATCAAAAATTTTAAAGTCTGTTTTCCATAAAAACAAACTAATGATTTGAAAAATGCTTCAAATCAGTAATTACCAATTTGAAACATAAATGTAAAATAAAAGCGAAAGTAAGCAAAATTCGCCGGTCAACAGCGGAATAGCAGACGATTGCACAAGTTGGGAGTCACAACATACCCGAACACCTATCGCAACCGCAACTGTTATGATTCGACTTAGTGAATGCAACCGGCAGATCGTAGATTGGCGCAAGGCATGCTGGGAAGAAAAGGACGGTTCCACTGCTTACTGGGTGAAAGACGACCGGTTTATCTTTATTTATTTGCTTATTATTTATTTATTTCATCATTTAAATCTCTTAAACTTTGAGGGAAAATATAAAACAGCATTGTTTTTTAAAGAATGTTAGAGAAAAAAAAAATAAGAACGGACTATATTTATTGAGTTCTTTCTCTTGTCTGGAGAAAATTAATTCATGTAAAGAGAAAGGGAAAAATTAAAAAAAGGATCTTTCTTTGAAATTAGTTCAAGACGTTTATAAAAATGATGACGTCGATAGAACTAACTAGATTTTAACTGGATGCAATTACGAAAACTGGCTGCTATTTTAAATAAACAATATTTTTCGATTTATTTTGAAAAATTTAATTTAGATCGAAATAAAGAACTAAGCTGATGCGAGTGAAAAATGGATTTTCTGAAAACTTTTTATCATCCTTTTTTTAAATGTTTCTGATAAATACTGAGTGTTTAAAATGCATTGCACTTCTTTTCCTTCAAAATTTTGAATAACAAGTGAGACGAAAACAGACTTAAAACATTTTTAATTGAGAAGAGTGACTAAAAATTAAAATTGAAAAAAAGATTGCAAGGTTTATTTTTAAAGACAAACTATGCAATACATCAATTTTGAAAACCTGTTATTGACTTTTTTTTTTTTAATTTTCAAATGATAAATAATGCTTCTTGGTAAGCTTCTTGATAAGTCAAATGATAATTAATTATTTTTAAAAATATTTCCGTACTTTATTAAATTTATTCTTATTTGACTTTTTATTATTATATATTTTTTAATTTAATAATTTCTTAATTCAGTGATTGTATCACTCTGCATCATGCTAACATGCATTTAGAAATACTATCTTTAATTATTAATGCTTATATTAAACTAAGTTTGAATTCTATTTATGTACCGTATTTGTCTGTAATTGATTTTTAATTGAGAAGACTGACTACAAATTAAAATTTAAAAAAAAAGATTGCAAGGTTTATTTTTAAAAACAAACTATGCAATATATCAATTTTGAAAACCTGTTAATGACTATCTTTTTTTTTTTAATTTTCGGATAATAAATAATGCTTCCTGGTAGTTAAATAGTTCATAACTAATAGTTAATTAGTTAATATGCAGATAGAATATAAGTAAATAAAAAAACGAACAGGTGTAGAAGTATATTGAAACTATTTCCAATACGTATATAACACTGGGGAACAAATTTTTTTTTATTACTTTCATACAAAATACTTGTTCGTGCCTAATTCGGGTGTAGGGATCTTAAATCTGAAATTAGTTTTTCTCTACAAAATACGGATTTTTTTAATTGCAATTTTAGTCTTCTTTTAATGGAAATGTACAAGTTTAAAAACGTTATGTATAACAAGGGGTCGCGTAAAGTTTGAGACAAATTTAAGGGTGCTAGGGCACATCATCGGGATTAAAATTGTATAGGAACTCATACCTGGAAATATCCCTGTGAAGACCTGTTCAAAAGCAAACGAAGAAGCAGTTCACAATAAGAAATCGCCGCTAGCGGCGTAAGACGACATTTCTGGGAATTAGTTCCAATGCAATAATCCTGATGATGCGTCCTAACTCCCCTAGAAGTTTGTTGCAACATTCACGTGGTCCCCTGTTACATATAACTTTTCTAAACTTACACATTTCCCCATGAAAGAGACTAAAAATGTGATTTTAAAAAATATGTAGCTTGAAGATAAAAACCGATTGTAGATTTGTGATTAGTGATGCACAAGTATCTAAGATCTATTTAAAAATCTCATGCATTAAGAAAAAATCTGTTCCCCAGTGTTATTCGTGATTCGTTGTTAATAGTGCGCAGAAAAGTTCGAAATAGTGGCAAATTTAGAAATCTTTTGATGATTGGTAGAGTAAAAAATATGTATACATTTGGTTAAAAAATATTTATAAAAGTGAGTTCCTTTTTAAATCACAATTTTTAAAATTTTTACATGTTTAAAGTTAGTTTTTGAGTCCCAAATAAGAACAATATAATTTAATAATGTAGTATATAATTTAATAATTAAGTCATGTAGTCAATGAAAATTTGGATGTTTAGAAATACAAATTGAGATTTTCGAGCGTAAAAACTAGATTAGCAATATCGACTCATTTCTTCTCGAACTTTTAATGATATCAGAAAGAAAGTATCTTCCTGCTCGCCCCCCCCCCTCAAAAAAATACTTCGTTTAAAAAATGTATTCAATAGACGTAGAATTTTGAGATATAATAAAATATTAACGATGCAGTTAAACTAAGAACACAGAATGTTTAGATTTAAAAATTCAACTTGAAGAAGAGCACGATCTGTGTTAGCTTAGGGGTTAGAATTCTACTCCTTGCTCTCACTGCCCACTGTACTGAAGCATAGCATCCTCAGAGGTAGGGGGGCTATAATACCCTTACCGTCAGGTAATGCATGTCAGCTTTTCGAGGTTTTCCTCTCACTGTAACACATATCAAGGTAAGGCACGTAAAAAAGTCTTCTATAAAGGGTAGTTTGTCTCACTGTTTGATCCAGGTGAATTCAAAAATGTGTTGAACATCGATAACAGCAACCCCAATTAAATACAGTAAAACTTGACGACCGAAAGTTGCAAATGAAGTTAAACAATATTTTGTCTTAAAACAATGTTACGACATAAACGTTTTGAATGAAGTTTTCAAAAAAAGATGGTGAACTCTATGCAAACCAACTCTAGAAAACTAAACTCATTTCACAAGATAATATTAATAAATTCAATTCTCAATCAATAAGAGACTAATGTTTTTTTTGTTTTTTTTTGAAGAGGAAGTTTTATCTTGAAGAATCAGATGGTTTTATAAATTTAGGTTTGATCTGAGGAAAAATAAAATATATATTTTCTACAAATAATAATGTGAGGCTCATTGAAACTAACTAGACCACGTAGGGTAAACTAACCAGTGAAGGAACACTTAAGCTTCGCTTGCCTTTTAAAAAATCATATTAATTTCAAAATTCGAAATTTTAGTTAAATAACAGTGTCAACATATTTGTTACTAATTGAAAATTATGTAAAAAAAATTTTAGAGAACTTACATAATATTGTTTTAAAGTTTTGGAGGTTCAAATAACAAGTAGTAAGAAGACCAAGTGAAGGAACAGCTCTTACCAGTGAATGAACATCCAGTAAAGGAACACTTAATTTTGGTTATTTTATAATGCTCTTTATGAATTTGTAAGCCATACAAATATATTTAAAAACAAGCCTATTCTTGAAATTAAAACACATAAGTACCTGGAAAATATTAACTTTTTTTTGTAATCATGAATTGAAAATTAAAGTGTCAACATATTAACACATACTGTTTATTCACTGGGAAATCTATGCCCAGTAAAGGAACATGCCTGTTCCCTCACTGGTTAGTAGTTGTTTTCCGTAGTTTTTACATACTTTTGTTGCGGAACATCACTAAAAGTACAAGAAAATTAAAGTTTATCTTTTATTTTCATTGACTTAGAAAAAAAACCAGTAAAGGAACACTTGTTCCATAACTGGTTTTTCATCGTTTGGTGATCCAGTGAATAAACACCCCCTTATCTCAATACTTTCTTATGCTATGATGCTTAAAAAAAATAAAACGTAACTTCAATAACTATATCTTGAATTCTTTTTTTCACAGTGAGAAAAATAAAACTATTACATGCAATTAATTCCACTTCAAACATATAAATACAAACACTCACCTTATAATTTTTTCAAAGAAACAAGGTGTTGCAGAGATAATAACAAATTCAAAAATTTTTCCAGAGAAGTCTATTTAACTAGGTAATCCAAAACATTGCTAGATGACTTTCTATTGTTTGGCGGTAAGCTATTCTTACCAATCAATCTGAAGAAAAACTTTCAAATTCTTATTTTTAATCAATATATATGAAATGTTCCTTCACTGGTTGGTTTACCCTACATAGATCTTATTAACAACAAAATAAACTCTTATAAAATATAGGGTGTCCCAAAAGTCACGCAAGCAATAAATTTTACCGAAAATACAGGTTTTTAATCAAAAAAAAAATTTTTTTTAACTGTTTCAAATAGTATGCACTACAATATTATGTATGAAATAGCATGTAGGTTAGTTGATCTCAGCTGTTCTGTTCCAATTCTTTATTTACTTTTTTAGGATTTATGCTTTTTTTTTAAATTTAAAATGAAAGACAACTTAGTATTGAAATCAATACTAAGTACTATCGATAAAGTCAAAAGCTACTGTATTTAATTTTATTTTTTTCCCTTGAATCTTGCAAAAACTCCTACTTCAGTAACGATGAATATTATAGAAATCTACTTAAGATATACATTTTAAATCAAACAGTTGTTTAAAATTAAAGGGAAAGAGGTAAATTTATAATTTCTTCTTTTAATTTTTATTGCTGCTTCAACATTAAATATGTGTACTTTTTATAACGACAAGCTAACTTCAATAACAATTCTGTATGGTATTCTGAATTGTCGCTATAACGGAGTTTCATTATATTTTATGGCAACACATGAGAAAATATGAAAGGCTACAATGCGCTAAAGTGAAAGATTACTTGGTAACTAACTGAAAACATATGCAATTTAGAATTTTTTCATATTAGCTAACCAATGAGAAGAACTATTGCTGACACAAAATGTTAGTAATTAAAGTATTTTTATTATTAAAATAAATTATCTTTGTTTCAGTAAAATAATTTATTTATTTATTTCTTTTAATATAGTAAAAATAACTGCATATTTGTTGTTAGAACCTCAAAAAATGTGACAGTGGTTGAAACTGACGCAGAATTTATGATTTATGTATTTTTTCACCGTTTTGAAACATCGTAGTTTGGGGAAAAACAGCTAAAAACACGAATTCTCTGCTTAACATTATTCAATATAAGATTTATTTCTGTTCTTAATCTACTTTTCACATTTCTATTTCGCCTT